ACATCTGCGGTGCCGAGCTTCGTATTTGTATCCCCTGGGATACGAATACAAAGCTCCCATGTCAAGACTTAATACATTTCCAGACTATTTCCCCAGGCAGCTTCACCCACAACACATCGCAGCAAACCTAAACAAGAAGTTAGAAAAGACACAGACAAGTGAATAAAAAATCTATGGCAGGTCATATCTGTGGTCTAAAATTGTTAGCAAGTAAAAGTAAGTAATGGACATGATCTAAAACTCAATGCTAAGAAACAAAGCTTATAGTAATTATTGAAATGCAAATGATTCAAGAAATGCAGTTAAAGATTCAAATTGAAAATTTGGAGCGTGTTGCTTTGGAATTTGATTGAATGAGCAATAGGATCAAAGCCTTGTACCAAAAGTCAGACTATAGATAGTTTGCATCCTTATGAGAAGTAACATAATAGGCAAAAAAGTTAAAATGGGCATTGAGAATATCTAACAGTGCTATATATTATCATTTCTATTGTATGGCATAGAACCATGCACTTTAAAAGAAGGCACTATGGAAAAGACAAAACTATTTAAAACGTATTTTTATCACAGGATAGTGACAATTTGGTGCATCAAATGGGTGTCTCTTAAGTGTTTTTCAACGTCCATTCTCAACACGGCTTTGCTAAAAAAGAAAGGACATTTACAATTTTGACAAAAATTAATTCAAAAACTAGTTTGCAGCAAATGTGCATTCTTCACTCAGCACAATCATGCCTTGTACCTTCTTCCTAAAAATACTGAAAATCACTGCAGTTTCAGCAGAGCATGCCTGCTAAAAAAGGAGGGGGAGGAGAGAAGGAAATCATTAAACCTATGGTGTCAGATATATCCATGGAAAATGTCATTTTCACTAGTATATTACATGCTATCAGTGGAGCATGAACCTGTTTGAAGAGATAAAATTTTATACATGCTGTTACAGTAAGAATTTTACTTAGTACCAAATGAATCAGTTTTTCTTTATAATAAAGTTTTAAAAGGTTGCAAGGAAGAGAGAGAGAGTTTTTAAAGGACCCTTATTTATAATTGCCTTTCTACCAACTTTATTTAGTAGCCTAAGAATCACAGAGGACCGAACAATCAACTAGTTCAACATCCTTAACAGAGAGAAGATGCCTTCAACATGGATAATCTCTAAAACATGTTCCACTGCCTCTTTCAAAACTCAGTGCAAGAACATTCCATGTCTATTATGATCAACAAGCATGGGATTTTTGGAATTTGTGGATTACAGCCCACAGACGTCTACAGGAATTCCCACAACCAGATTTCTAGGGGCTTTAGCCAAACAATCCTCAGTCCTTTCAGATGTCTGTAATGCCTTAGAACTGAGAAACAATGGCTTATCTTGGAAAACAGAAGTAGTAGCTGACAGGACTAAGCTTTTGGGAAACTCCTAGGCATTATGGGTCGGGCAGTTTCCAAAGAGGCGCCCTTTTAAAGACATCTGCTTTCAGTCTAAAGTCTAATTCTGTGCACAATAACCCTAGACCAGTGATGGCGAACGTATGTCACAGCTGGCACAGAGGAGCCCTCTCTGTGGGCACGCAAGCTATAAGTTGCTGGATTGTTACCCCTGGCATCCAAACCTGAGGAGGTGGCTGCAGCCCAGTGCTAGCACTCCGACAGGCGGCGGGCCAGGATCCGGAGCAGCTGGTGCCAGCGGACCAGCCAAGCTATAGGTAGTGGTGGGGTTGGGCAGAACTGGAGGCGGATCTAGAGTGGGGTCTGGAGGCACCTCCATGCCCGCGATTCCCGCTTCCACCAGCACTTCCGCTGCCATGGCAGCCCGCTGGGGGTTTTGTTTGTTTGTTTTCCAGTTTGGGCACTCGGGCTCAAAAAGGTTCGCCATCACTGCCCTAGACAAACCAAGATGCCTAGTATCAGTTTAAATTCATTGCACTTAGTCAGGGTTTTTTTTTTCTTTGTTTTTTATGAATGAGAAAGGATAACTAAAGGAGAACATTTTAGAAGAATGGTAAGGAACAGAGTGGCAGTCTACTTGCCAACTATTTCATTTGCCCCTTTTACAGTACATTGTTACACACAGGCTGAAATCATATTATTTAGCATAACACAATTTGTAGCATTGGTTCCATTCCCAGCTGGCAAATCGAGAGCCTCTATTGTGATTTTTGGGCAAGCACATAGACAGCATATACAAGAGCTCCTTTTTTTCCAGGCTAGGAAGGAACTGAATGTTATGAATCGTGATACACTAAGAAACAGGATTTCAGCCATAATAACACCCAAGTCTTCCTAAGCAAGGTTTTACAGTTGTTTGGAAAGGGACAGAAGTATGTGTAGAGCATCCATTCTTTTCCCACTAAGGATAGCAAGCAAGTACTGCAAAACGCCACCAACTTAAAAGGCCTCCTGCTCTCAAGCCAGCACAGGGGACGGGTGGGCTACCTGCACCAGGCATGACCTACCAAGTGCAGTTTGATTGCTGTCATCACATTCTTGAGAGGCCATCTTGGCTGTATAAGCTTTAACCCACCATGGCTTGTATTTCAAAATATGACGAACAGCTTCATCTTCAAAAAAGTCAGCACTGGAAGGTAAAAAAACAAAACCAATTCATCTAACACATTTGTGAATGTAGGCAAAGAAATTTTATTATGTGGTACTGCAGCAGTGTGCAAACCAAGGACTCACCAACTAGAGATGCATGATTTCCCTACCCACCTGAAGAAGCCTGTGTCACCACTGCAAGTTAGTTATATTTTCTATTCTGTTGGTCACATTTTAATAATTAAAACATGCACGCACACACACACAATAAGGCTGAACCATTTTTGATTCTTTAATTTCTTCCTCTCTTTCTTGTGAAGAAGTCACTACACCTCAAAGATGAGGGAAAACAGTTGAAAGTCTGCAGAAGGACCTCTGGCTACTGGAATTATTGCAAAATATACGGTACTGTGCTGTTCTTCCAATCTGGCCTAGCAAACACACTTCTTTCCCTCCTAAGGCATAAGGTACATTTGGATTATTCCTTAACTTTCAAAAAACCAAAAGATTCTATTGGTTATATTATATTTCTATACAATATTCAGCAATATAATATATTGTATAATCTGATGGATCAGATATTCCAGCAAAAAAACTCATCATACAGCATTCTGTCCACACGGGGAGTAGAAATTTGATTAACCAATCAACATCATACTTTTCTGAGTTACCAATGTTTATAGGTTGAAACATATTCCCATATGCATTCATATAAGGGCAAGCAAGTGAACAATTCCACATATTTTGAGGGCCATCTGCTTTGCTCTTAATGATTCTTGTGTTGCACAATGAATCATACATCCAGTCATGAGCCTGATTACGTGACAAAAGGCCAGTAGGAAGGAAACACCACTTGCATGACTGGCCTTATACAGTATGTGCAGTTTTCTTCAACACGATTTTGGCCCATATACCCTGTTTCCCCGAAAATCAGACAGGGTCTTATATTAAGTTTTGCTCCAAAAAAACGCATTAGGGCTTATTTTCAGGGGATTTTTTTCCATGTACAACAATCTACGTTATTCAAATACAGTCATGTCATCTTCTGGTTGCTGCACAATGGTGGAAGGTGGGTTTCACTTAACTGGGGCTTATTTTTGGGGTAAGGCTTACATTATGAGTATCCTGAAAAATTGTACTAGGGCTTAGTTTCAGGTTAGGTCTTATTTTGGGGGAAACAGGGTACTACACTGATGTAGTATATGAAGGAACTTACACCAAGAAATACATATAGGGACAAAGAACTAATGGCTGTTCTCTGTCCTCTAGCCTGATGAAAGTCTGAAGAACTTGAACGCTCATAAACATCTGCATTGTTTTGGTTGGTCCTAAGAAAGATATTGCTGCAACTATGGATATTACTGTCTCTCATGGGCATGTTTATTTTAAGGTGGCTCACTTTCTATATACTTTGTTGAACCTATGTTTATACAAAACATCTAACTACTGCATATTATGTTAGCACTTGTAGCTACCGAAAAATTTAAACCATTTATTTTAAAAAGCACATGAGAAAGCTGAATCAAAAAGTGTTCTGATCAGAATTCAAAAATACAGTGTTCCCATACACATCCTTCCCCTTCCATTCCCCAAGCATTTAACTGATAAAACACACAAAATGGGAAAAACCAATAGCTTAAGGTATTGTTTGATGTTCTGTCCCAGGAAGACACAGCTGAAACACACTACAGACATCCACTTTGCTGTTCTCGTGGATCACAGTGGGTTAGTTTCCCTCATTACTTTAAAGAATACAGAACTGCAACATCCACAACTGAGAATGCTCTTGGGTTTCCTTGTGCTGGTCCTGCGAGCAATGCACAAAAGTTTGCATCAGGGAATATCAGCTGGTCTAACTGAGCTTACAAAACAAAACTATAATTGCACAATACCCAACATCAATAATACAAATAATTTAAGATGCAACCTAGAAAAAAAAAATCTCACTTTACACAGGAATCACTCCCTCCCCGTCTAAAAAAAAGTTTTTACTCTATACTGCGCATACAATTTAAGAGTTAACCAGGTATTGGTGAAACATGTAATCAGGTGGGTACTCACAGGTAATGATCAGGATCGAATTTGGCAGCTTCTGCCGCTAACCGTCTCTCTCTGCGTTCAGCAGCAGGAGATGTGTCTGGATCTTTAACGTCAATAACATCGTTAAGCTCATCCTATAAATACAAGAACAAAATTACCAAGAAGACTGCTTCAGAAGGATAAACACTGCTTATTCATTGTTTATAGAAAAGCACACAGAAGTCTTGCTGCAAGGCAAAAAGAGCAAATAGACTGGTGCTTTTACTCAGATGGCAGAAAATCTGGTTTCACCCACACACTTAGAAGGGAGCCCCTAGGTCAGCCTGCCTCAGTCTTTGCTTTCTTCACAAAAGTCCGAAGAAGAGAGTGTCCTGCTTGTCCTCTACACACAAGCAAGACTCTTCGTCAGACCCGGAAAGGCATCGTGTGGAGGAAGCCACAAGGGTGGGGCTGTGCACTCCTTTCTAAGCGAGCCGACAAAGAACAGATTTTTCTAAACTCTGACCAGGGCTCAATCGTTAAGAACACCCATCACAGTGAAATATGCTGTGATACCAAGAATGAAGTTGCAACCAGATCACACACATAGCTGTCCTTCTGCACTTGACCATACCAAAAAAACCCCACACCCAAACAATGGAAGCTTCCACAGATGCACATTCCTTGTTACACCATCACTAAATCTCTGTGCGATCAGTATATTAGCATCTTATCTTATATAAAAAAATGACCGATGCAGATCTAACAAAGTTTTTCTTAGGAATTCAAATTTTCAGAAAGCCCCAAAATTTGATTATCTTTTCAAAAGATGTTGCATAGTCTATTTGCTCTGAATATAGTTTACTGTTACAGGCTCACATGAACAGTGATTTCTCACTGAATGAATCCAGAAGGCTGACATAACTGGCTGTTTGGGAGACATGAACCTTTAGAATCTCCTCTACTAAGTTATCTGTACTAGCCATGCAGAGATGTCAAAATCATCTGGGAAGGAGGGCAATACCAGCTGCAACACTTTTCAATGAACATATCAGGTGGAAAGAAGAGGCTAGCTAAAACACTGATAAAGTGGACGACATGGAACATATCTAAGAAGCAGGGACAGGGAGGCAGCTTTGGTTTTTGCTTCTGCCAAAAATATCTGAAGATCCCTCACACCCTGTTTGAATAAGTGGCCAGCCGTAAGTGGACTGGTCGTGTGATCAAAGCACATTAGTTCTTTACTGCAGACAATCATTTGGAAGACCAGCCAAGTACCAGCACACAAAGCAACAGGAAAACAAACAGAAAATTTGCCATACAAGCTGAAGTTTTTGCTTATCTGCAAGACTGACTCAGCCTGTTCTCCAAATCATGCCAACAATAATGTGTCTCCACACTGCATGCACTGTTAGTGATTTACATTTTAACATCTTTGTTTTTGGAACCAATGGCTACCATTATTAAAGTCTCCTACAATCAGGGGCATTTATCACATCATATGGCAATGACATGATTGACTGGTTTTGATGTCACTAAGACAACATGGTGATACATCTACTTAATTAAAAAACACCCTAAACTTTTAGTCGGTAGATTCACATCCCTTCCTTTCACCAGAATTCTCAAAGAAGTAAACAGGAGATACACCAAGACATACACACTGAGAGAGAAAGGAGCTAGAACTGGATTCTTCTTCTTGTAGGACAATTGGTGGCATATGCCCTGGGGCAGGCAGTGGAAGGAGATAGCTTTGTCTCCGCTGCACAGAGAATTTATGAACCGGGAGTCAACTGTTCTGTGTGAATTAGCCTGCATTTATGTATACTGCTTTTCTTCTGCAATTCTGCTCCTCTACAGGAGAAAGACTGTTTCACTCGTCACAATCTGCTTTGAAGAATACATCTGCAGATGTGGTCATCTTCCTTACACTCTTAAAGGTAAAGGTTGCCCTTGACATGATGAGTAATACTGAATAATGCTTATATTATAGAAATGTGCATAGATTTCTATCTCTAGCTATCTTGTAAAAGGTAAAGATTCCCCTTGACATTTAGTTCAGTCGTGTCCGACTCTAGGGGGCAGTGCTCACCCGTTTCCAAGTCATAGGGCGAGCGTTTTTTTCCATGGTCACGTGGCGAGCACAGCTAGACACGGAACGCTGTTACCTTCCCATCAAGGTGGTCCCTATGTATCTACTCGAATGTACATGCTTTCGAACGGCTAGGTTGGCGAGAGCTGGGACAAGCGATGGGAGCTCACTCCATTGTGTGGATTCGATCTTACGATTGCTGGTCTTCTGAGCCTGCAGCACAGGCTTCTGCGGTTTAACCTGCAGCGCCACCACTGCACTGAGTAGAAGTAAGCATCTACTCTTACTTCCACATTATTCATGGATAAGTTAGAAAACACAAGCCCAAACATAAATCTTCACAGAATCCCATTGCTGCCATAATAGAGAAATCTTTACGGTTCATTTAACACTGTACTTTTGTTTCTCACGTTGTATTCCTACATAAATACATTTACTGTATGTATATTCGTTATGTTGATTTTTTTAAATAAAAAAGGTAGAAAATTTGGCATTAAGATTAGGCATTTTACATATCTGCAAAAGTTCCATAATGTCAAAAGATGTCTGTGACAGGAAATCACAACCTCCTCTCCTACTGCCATTTTAATCATCACAGGCAAAATCCTCTTAGGGAAATGTAGCCTGGGTGAGGAATCAAGCAGCAGTTTCTGCCCTTCTAGCCAGCTGTTATTTATCAGCATATGTACGGGTTGGTTACAAAAATCAGATGCACACAGAGAACAGTTCACCAGAGGGGGCTGTTGCACAACTGCCCTTACACATGCAGATTTCTACAAGAGTCTAACCTACATTGCCAAAAATGTTACAAGTAAAAGAATGACAACCAATAATCAATCTAACAAGAACCGAGATTTTGGTAGACATATCAATACATAAGCAAAAAATTCCTTAATTCCACAAATAGTGGGTTGGATCCAGAATTAACCACAGGCATCTCCCAAACCAGAAAGGAAAAATAGATTTGAGTGACTTTCCACAGGCATCTCCCAAACCAGAAAGGAAAAATAGATTTGAGTGACTTTTTGAAAGTACTCAAAGCATTCACTTTTCCCCCTAGGAAAGGGCCCCTTCCATACATAAGGAATTAAAAACAGCATTTCTGTTTGACTATCGGTGAACTGCTTTCTCTTTTGTTATGGCTGTAATTTGGCAGCCATTATACTAATTATCTTCAAAATATCCCTACATACCTGAAGACGTGCAAACACTCCCGATTTCTGGTTTCCAAATCCATAGGTACAAGGAGAACATAAGGGACTCTCTTTGATTTCCTCATAAGGAGTCTGCTCTATTTCCCAATCAAAATCTTCTTCCTCTTCCACATCCTCATCATTTCCAGCATCTGAAGCTTTGAGGTCAGGAAAGATTTGCATCAGAAAAAAATACTAGCATTCTCTTTAGGAAGTTTCACCTAAAATCCCTTTTCTCTTCAGTTTAATCAAACTCTGCTCTGAAACTAAAATTGAGACCTGTGTGCAAATATCTGACAGAACACCAAGTAGAAGCTTCTGCATCACACTAGTTTACTGTTCCTCCAAAAATGAGGTAACATCGATACCTGGGAGATTATTTGGAATCCACATGCTATATAGGCTCCTAAAAGCATATCCTACAGAGAGTGAATAAATAAGATAAAGTTGAGTCCACTTCAGCTTCTTGAAAAAAAATAGAACATTCAGGGTGGAAATATCAAGCAACTTATGCAGCCCTAGCAACTTGAGTCAATGAACATTCTTATACTTACTTCAAAGAAAGGAATTTTCTTACACTAAACAACAAGATTTCCACCATAAAGTCTTAACAGTAAAAAAGAAGTGCACCCATTACATGTGTCTACATAGGACAGAGATATGAGCAGAAAAACAAATTCTAGCGAACATAACTAAGGACTAATATTTAGCTGACACAGCTCAAAATTCAGTGGAATTCCAGAAATTGAACCATCCTGTCTGTATATTAACCTAGTTTTTAAGAGCTGGTAAAGTGATTCTCTTCTGGACAGCCCACAGGGAAAACCACCAGGGCAGGGGGGCAATGAGTAGTGGAACAAGATGGCTGGAAACTCAGCTGCTGCCTTAAGACACAAGCTGACAGTGCTTTGCCCTCCACTCTCCTTGACAGCAAGAAGCAAGAGTGTGTGAGAGATCACATGCAATGGGGAGGGGGCAAGGCATGATGGCCAAAAATGTTTCTCTGCTGCTGCCACAGAAGAAAGCAGAACAGAGCTTTGCTCCAGGGAAAGGTCCCACATATTTAGCCTCAGGTGAAATACTACTCATTATGTGGTGAAAAATTCTGAGCATGAAAGAGCACAGAGATTTCACCTGAACATATAAGATTAAGGAACAAGAGGCACATCACAGCCCTTCATAGATACCTCCTGTGTGTCTATGAAAGTCTAAGAGTGTTATTTTTTATTTATTAGCTGCATTAATATCCCATTTTCCTTCAAATGAGTTGAAGGTGGCATGCATGGTCGTCCTCCCCTTATACTCTCCTCATAACAACCAAGAGTGGCAAATCAGGTTGAGAGACTGAGTTCCATAGATGAGTGTGGATTTGAATCTGGGTCCCCTAGTTAGTACAGCACTAACTAGGCTTTGTTCAAATAATTTTTTAAAAAAATCATTATGTGATAAAGCTTGATGGCAAGTTCGCTTCCTTACAAACACGTTACCTGAGCATACAGAAACAAATTCAAATGTTAACTAAAATCATACAAACCCATCTCTTCTATTAAAGGTTTTGCTGATCTAGATTTCTTTGGTGCTAACAGAGCTGTCAACAGGTCTAATCCTTCAAACTTCTCTCCAGGAACTTCTTTGGGAAGCCGGATTGTAAAAATGCCTTCAAGAAAGAAAGAATCTTATTAAGGACATCATTTCAGGACAGATATTTTTCACATTCTGGTAAATCCTAAGTACATTTCAAATACCAAACGCTCACCATGCTTTGTCAAAAATCTGCACACCCCCTCCCCATGTTAGTTTAAAAGGAAGTTTGAAACTCAAACTTCTCTATTCACTGCTGCCTTCTTGCTATGTGAAAATGTTAAGCAAGAGCACGGTAATGTAGCATGCAAAAGAAAAGCGTATATATTCCTCAAGTGGAAATATCTAAATGTCATTTCTGAACAAGGAGTTGATATGGATAAGGATACTTTGTAAAACAAAGCTTTTAAAGAATTTAGAACCTGTGTCGTCATATGTTGCTTTCTCTCTTCCATCTTCCACAATTCTTCCAGGAAGAATCAATCTATTAGGGAAAAAAAACAAGAACTAGATATTTAACTAGATATTTAATACCAGCTTAAGAATAAGGCATGCCAGACACTAGAAAATAAAATGTCTATCTACAACACTGTGAAAGGAAAACAGCAAACTGTATTGCTTAAGTCAGGTGACAGTCTCTTAATTCAAATTATCTGCTAAACAAGCCACGATACTTTAAAAATTGTCATATAAAAATAAATTATGTAACCAAGTATCTCAGGATACCAAATTTAATTCCAAATATCTATTGCCTTCTTAACTGTGCTACCTTTTGTGCAACAGGACTACAAGTGAACGCTTCAGATAAATATGAAGCACATTATTTTTACAATGTACAAGTCCATCTACAGAAATACTTTTGAATAATTTGCTATCTATAGTAAGCAAATACTGTACTGACCAATTTCCACCAAAACAACAACTAAAGTGCATGCATTCCCTTTTCCCTCTTTCATACACAAGGGAAAATTCAACTTCCATGATTTGCAACAATTTGTTCCCATATGTATTTAAATATATTACAAAATGAACTTGAAAAAATCACATCAGAACGGATTCCAAGGCTTCTTGCACTGCATCCTAGTCCAGTAACAAACCATAGCCTGTTGTTACGTCTGAATTTAGTGAATGTATCTGCCTATCCTACATTAACTATTTCTACCATACATGAATAAGCAAACCACTCTTCAGAAAAAAGAGCAGAAATTATCCTTGCCTTTGAGCTAAGAAAATGTTACAACTTCAACTGAATGAAATGATATTTTTGTGTTTTATAAAAAATTACAAAAGAACACAAAGAATATAATAAATAAAAATTACGCAAGCAACAAATTAACAATATAAATCAATTTAGACCATACAATAAAACACAACGTGCTATGTCCCCCAGCACCATTTGGAAATAATCAATTTTTCTTCCCCATATGGAGTCCCCTACCCTTTCTAGGATTGCAATGATTCTTCCAAAGGTGCACATCCTTTCATCTTTATTAATCCCTAGTCAATCAATTCTCCCCAAATATCTATAAACATATTATTTTAACAAAACTTTCTTAACTTTAAGATTATACATCAACTTATCATTAATGGATATATTTTAAATTTATTTATACCATTCATTCAACTGAAAATCATATTTTACTTTCCAATTCCTTGCTATTAATCTTGCTGTTGTTAAAAAAATTGATAATACTTCTTTTGTAGTTCATTTCCATTACTCCTTATCAAATGGAAATAAAAATGCTATTATAGGACATGACTATATTTAACTTATTTCATTTATTCCTGCAAAAATTAACTGCCAAAATTTTTATATATTTTTGCATTCCCATAACATATGAAAATAAGTACTGACTTTCTGCAACCTCTCCAATGCATCTTTTAAAAAAATCAGTATTTATTTGATTTAATTTAATCAGAGTTAAGTACCATTACCAAATTAATTTATAAACATTTTCCATTACGTTTATAGTCATAGACTTCTGTATTCTTGGATATATTTTTCCACACCTCAATACTTATGAAATGACATTGCTTACCGGAGAAAGTAAGGTTTGGCATAAAACCTGAACTCCTTCCCTTCAAAGGAGACATCAAACTCCGAAACTCGTGCATACGGTACTTTGATTATTATTGTAAGAAAATCTGGATCTTGACTCAGTTCAAACGCTGGAGTTATCATGCTGAATCCTACTGGAAAATCCACCAAACGTCCAGAAAAAAATTATGCTGCAGAAACAAAAGAATCACCATCTAAGCAGGAAAAAATGCATATCACAGCGGAATCCAAGCTCAAAGATATACTCCAATAGTGTGCATGCAAGGGGAAGACGTCTTTTCTCCCAGACTTCCCCTGTGTTGGTTGATATCAGATGGAGCTGCTGGCACAGATACTATGCTGAATGACATCAGCTGGAAGAAGCACCAAAACAGAGCGGAGAAGGAAAGGACCTGAGCTAGGCCAGATTTAAATTCCCATCTATTAAGTTGTCTGTATCCCACAAAACAGGGACGTGGTGGCGCTGCGGTTTAAACCACAAAGCCTCTGGGCTGCAAGGTCAAAAGATCAACAGTTTGAATCCATGCAACAGACTGCGTTCCCATCACTTGTCCCAGCTCCTGCCAACCTAGCAGTTTGAAAGCATGCACAATGCGAGTAAATAAATAGCTACCACCACAGTGGGAAAGTAATGGCGTTCCGTGTCTAGTTGAGCTGGCCATGTGACCAAGTAACTGTCTTCGGACAAACGCTGGCTCTATCTATGGCTTGGAAACAGGGATGAGCACCACCCCCTAGAGTCGGGCACAACTGGACAAATTGTCAAGGGGAACCTGTATTTGCCAACAGGTATCAACTATCACTGAACACAACTGAAAATGAACAAATAAATTCTTAAAAACACACAGAACTCAACCATATTGTAAAACAGTTATCCCAGAGGCTGCCTTCATACTTAATAACAGTTAACATATACAGTACAGTATTTTCTTTAACCTGCAAACTGCAGCCAAATACTGGTAGGAGGATCCTAACAGATCTCTAGATATAAAGTATAGCATAGCTACTGCAGCATGACACTACATTTCTACAATATCAAAATATTCTTTAAGAAGCTTGGCAAAAATAAAAATGAGGAAGTGTAAGATACTCTTCTCACAAAATAGTAAAATATTCTGAGTATGACAATATACAAATGTATACCAATATTTTGTATTTCAGACCACCCTCCTATATACAGCACATGACATTTCTATTCAAACTGATCTTTGGGAGGAAATGCAAGGAATAAATATCACAAACAAAAAGCATCAATTAATTTGATGTCTTACGCCATAGAATTCCAAGGCAGTACAGTATATATGTGGCTCTGCCTCTCCAACTTTGCCTTTACAACAACTTTGTAATGTAGGTCATTGTCTCAAGGGCAAGAATGACCCAAGGTCACCCTCTCAATTTCATGGCTCAGTGGTGATCAGCACCTGTTTCTCCAAAGTCTTAACCCAATGTTTTAACCACTACCCCTTATTGGCTCTATCAGGCATGCTGCTGCCTAATCTAAACCCAAGGGTTCATAGGGCTATGAAGCAGATAAATACAGACACAGGATGTGGAACAACCTAATTATCATCTAGCTAGGGGAATAGCAAACTATGGCATATTCTCCTCCTTCCACTCATGAGAAATTTAATCGGGCTGAGCCAGGGATGTGGAGTTTGATTCCCCACTGTGTAGTTCCAAGAGAAGCTTCTGCGTAGCCTTGGGCAAACTGCACAGTCCCAAGGCACCTACTCTGTACCTAGCTATGCTAGGAACTCTATACCTAAAAAACTCTGGAAAGGATGAACGTAAATCACAATTAACTTGACTTCACTTTGTTATTATTACTACTGATGGCGTTCCTATTGCTATTATATCAGACAAAAGCCTTTTTCACAGTACAGTATGCAGGTTTCCCACACAAGGTTTTGAAACAGTAGTTTGGGTTTCTGGCTGCAGAGCCAGTGGTTGGGAGTTCGATTCCCCACCGTGCCTCCTGGACAGGAGGAACTAGACTTGAAGATCCAGAGGGTCCCTTCCACCTCCGCAGTTCTAACATTATCATCCTCAGTGAGCACGCTGCCTCTTCGACTGCAGAACAGCAGCACACCGTCCTGAACCGGGAAGCTCCATGGTCTGCATATGAAACTCATCCGGGATCTTGCACCACCGCTTACACCCTCTCAGCCCGTCCCACCTTATAAAACTGTTGTTAAAAGACACTTCCAAGAGCCACGGAGGGAGGCCACGGTGTATGGGGGTGAAAGAAGAGAAACCCATCTAACAAACAGATGAGTTTACGACCTAAACATGACTGAGAGGGCTTGAGGAGCTTCTCTCCCTTTCATAGAGAAGGCGACAGGATTCGATCTCTATACTTCGTCCCACTGAGTGGGCGAGACGTTGCCGCCCCACCCTCCACCCCCCCCATTTATTTAGCCACCCAGGGAGAAAGAGGCACCTCTCCCGCCCCGGCAAAACTAAACCCGGCTGCCCCTAGAGAGGCTGCCGCCACGAATCCCGCGCCTCCAGCCCGTCATTCCCGACTCGGGCTGCTCCCGCCTCTCGACCGCGGCGGAATTCCACGACCCCACGCGCCCTCGGAGACTCCCTCCACGCTGCCCTGCAGCCCCGCCCCGCTCACCCGCACGCGAGGAGGCTAACAACACCAAGACCCTCCGCCACGCGCCTTCAGACTCTTTATTTCTCCCCTTCCTAGAGCCGCGGCCCGCCCAGCCCGGCGAAGTGAGGCATTCTATTGGCTTTGGCTTCTGCCAATCCAATTGCTATCCTGCCATGGAGAACGGGATACCCAGGGAGGCGGGCTATTTGGAAGCCAGGCTATAAGGTCATTGGTAGGTTTTGTCCAATCAACAATCGTCTGTGGAATCAGCTCTATGATAGAGGAACGATGTACGGGAGGGAAGATGAAGGTTCTCACGTGATAGTTGTTGCGCAGAAGAGTCACTGCGCTTGTGCTTTGGCTGCGTTTTATTGCACGTTGTGGTGGTTTGGCGAAGAGAGAGTTGCTGAGAGTAGTGCGGAAAAAAAAGACGCTAAAAACATGAAGAGAGGACTGGCCCACCTATTTAATGGCATCTTATAAATAGTGACACCCATCAGAAGGGGCTGACCAGCCCTATATCTGCAAGCTTCTCTGGAATGCGCCTATATCAATAAGCTAGTTTTTTACACAAAGTTATTTTTTTTTCTTTGGCGAAACTCAAACTTTAGAAGTTGATTCTGGAAAAAAGAACAAAAAAAAACTTCATGGATCAAAAGTTTTTGTACTTCGAAGACAGCCTTATATATTACCTGGTTAACTAGCAAAATGTGTGCAAAGGGCGTTTTAAAAGCTCCTTGTTAATAAGCTGGTTTTGAACTGCAACGCTGGTCGCTCCTGCCCAAGTGAACTATGCTGAATGTGACTACTGAAGATGATGGGCCAAAATAAATCTGTAGGAACCAAAGTTGGGGAAGGTTGGGGTTAAAATACCCAGCTAGGGTTGGGAAGATGTCTATAAACCAGTCACGGTTAATTTGTAATATATGTTTCAGGGCTGTAGTGAAGATATACACCCAGTGTGTCTCGAAAGGCCTGAGTTCAAATATCACCTCTCCATAATCATCAGCCAAGCACCCTAGATTTTATGAAACATTGTACAGTAAATTCCGTGAACATTAGTGGAAGTTACTTCTGAGTAAATAGGTTCATAGAATTTAAGGAAATACAATTATTAAGAATGAGGTCACAGTGAATTATCATCCATGCACTGGAGAATGCTACATTAGTGTAATGGGATTTTTCTAGGTTTGCCTTTCATACTGCAGCGGTCCCAGGTGTTCTAGAATACGGATAGCTCAATGCAGAGGTTGGGAGTTTCCTTGACAGGCTGAACTAGATGGCCCAGAGGGTTCATTCCAGCTCTGCAGTTCTAAGATGATGATGATAGTGACACTTGCTTACTTCATAGGACTGAGCTCATAAGTACAGTACACATAAACCATATTTTGGAACAGCTGGATTCTTTACCAAGTTGTTTCCCTTGCCTACTGAAAAAAGCTAGTTTAAAATTTACACAGTGAGTCAAATATTGTTTAAAATCTTGACACTGCCATCCTGCCCTTCTTCATATATGTATTTATTTCTTAGTTACACTTAATATACTACCCATCCAGTGGCGAACCACTACTCTGGGCAACTAGCAATAATTGGAAACATATTTGTTCTTATTGTTTAGTTGTTTAGTCATGTCCGACTCTTCGTGGACCCATGGACCAAAGCATGCCAGGCCCTCCTGTCTTCAACTGCCTCCCAGAGTTGGGTCAAATTCATGTTGATAGCTTCAATGATACTGTCTAACCCAGTGGTCCCCAACCTTGGGCCTCCAGATGTTCTTGGACTTCAACTCCCAGAAATCCTGGCCAGCAGAGGTGATGGTGTAGGCTTCTGGGAGTTGGAGTCCAAGAACATCTGGAGGCCCAATGTTGGGGACCACTGGTCTAACCATCCTCCGTTGTCTCCTTCTCCTCTTGCATTCACACTTCCCCAACATCATTTTGAACCAATCAGTTGTTCCATATACAGTGCCAACTGTTGGTTCCTGTCCCACATATAGATTTCTCAGGAGACAGATAAGGTGGTCAAGCACTCCCATTTCTTTAAGAACTTGCCATAGTTTGCTGTGGTCCACACAGTCAAAGGCTTTTACGTAGTCAATGAAGCAGAAGTGGATGTTTTTCTGGAACACTGGCTTTCTCCATAATCCAGTGCATATAAGTAATTTGGCCTCTAGTTTCTCTGCTCCTTCGAAATCCAGCTTGTACTTCTGGGAGTTCTCGGTCCACGTACTGCTGAATCCCACCTTGTAGGATTTTGAGCATAACCTTGCTAGCGTGTGAAATGAGTGCAATTGTACGGTAGTTGGAGTATTCATTGGCGCTGCCCTTCTCTGGGATTGGGATATAGACTGATCTTTTCGAATACTCTGGCCACTGTTGAGTTTTCCAAACTTGCTGGCATATTGAGTGTAGCACCTTAACAGCATCATCTTTTAAGATTATAAATAGTTCAACTGGAATGCCATCACCTCCACTGGCGTTGTTGTTAGTCATGCTTTCTAAGGCCCACTTGACTTCACTCTCTAGGATGTCTGGTTCAAGGTCAGCAACCACACTATCTGGGTTGTCC